TGTATGTGTGTGTGTGTGTGTTTACACGCGCACACACACACTCACTGAGGCCTTGGTTGCCCAGCCTGTCTCTAACAGTTTGTTCCTCCACAAGTAATGTCCATATTTACCGACACTCGTGAGAGCTAAAAATTTCAATGTGTTAATGACTTCCAAATGCAAACCAAGGCCGCTTGAAATCAGGATTGGGTTTCAAATTTTCCATCTAAAAATCATCTCTGAATTGGCATCCTCTGTTAATGTTGCTGCGGTTTCTAAATGGAGTCATAAATGACCCGTAACAGCAGGTGCTAGGATAAGCCAGGGGTAGGCTCCCGGGCGAGCGTGGAGCGGGACCCCGGGAACGCATGGGAGAGAGCCCCAGAGCTGCGGCTCGCTGCACGCTTGAATTCTTGCCACACGGGAGCTTTCAGTTTAACAAGTCCTACTTATAACTAGGGTTCTTGTGACACTTTATTCTCTTGCTTCACACTCACTTTGTTTCCTCTCCAGGTGTTGACTTTAAAATCAAGACTGTAGAACTAAGAGGGAAGAAAATTAGATTGCAGATCTGGTAAGTTGAGTCTGTCCCATTTTGCCGTGTGTTTAACGGCCCACACACTTGGTACTAAAACAGCCGTCCCCCCTCCTCTCTGTCTTTGCCCCTTTCAAAGTCGGATTAACAGCACCTCCTGGGAACGGCTCCTTGCTCTACACCTCATCTGCACGGAGGCTGTTGTGCAATGCCCTGGGAGCCTGTTCGAACCTCTCTGCCTGTGTTTTCCTGTCATTGACATGTCTCCAAACTGCTATCACTGAAATGATTGCTTGATCGCATGTCTTGGACTGGCTGGTGTGTAGCTCTCCGCTAGAACACTTTGCTTGGCATGTCAGCCCTGGTGGGGGGGAAAGGCGTGAGCCCATGTCTTTAACATTACTGCACGGTATTCAGAAGCGCCCAGTGTGTTCATAAGCATATTGTCAGGAGGGAAGAACCCATCACCTACGCCACAGCCCAGGGCCCCTGTGCTGATACAGTGTGGACACAGAGTGGCAGGCAGGCCTGAGGATGCTGGGTGACTGGGGCATCTTCTCGGTACCCCATCCGAGGAGAATAGACCCCTTCCCAGGTCAGCATTGGAACAAGAGCCAGGCCAGCTGTGTTCTAACTCAGGACTTAAGTTTTCCCCTATTAACAACCCACAGTGGTAGCTCGAGTTCCCCATGTGCTACCTCTGTAGAAGGAAGGCAGGTGGTGCCTGAGTGGTAACCCCGCCCCGCTGTTTGGAGAATGCGTTGTGGTTTTCGTTAACACTGGTGCGACACTCAGCTTACTAACTCGTCTTGGCAGGTCGCCCTCAGCCCTGACTGTCTGTCCACCGTCTGTGTGTGTTTGCTTTCATCCGCGTTAACTGCTGCCGCATCTGTGGTCTCACCGGTCACCTAACGCTTGAATGTTAGTGGCATGTCTCCATCCTTCATCCATGTCCTTGTCTGGGGCACAGCTGCATCCGGGCCAGCCTTGCTCTACTGGTGTCCTGAGGTAATCACTTCCGTTTGGTCATCTGCAACTGAGTAACCACGTAAGGCTTTGGGGGGTTATTGTTTTGTTTGTTTTTAACAGTTTGAGCTAAATATTTAATAACAAAAAAAAACAGGTTTTTTTACACTAGTCCACAAATTTAACAATCTTTGTTTAGTTCATTATGCTCCATCAAATTATCTTACATGGATGGGGTGGAGAGAGAGAATGCTTAGCACTTAAGACCACTGGCTGCCCTTTCAAAGGGCCTGACTATTTCCCAACACACACATGGTGTCTCACAGCTGTCTATGAATCCAGTCCCGGGGGATCCGATGACCTTTGTGACTTCTTTGGGCACCAGACACATATTCAGTACACACATATACATGTAAGAAAAAACATCCATATATGTAAAATTTTAATCTTTGGCACAAACTGTTTCTAACTATAAGCGCCTGGGGACAGCTTTTGAAGGGCTTAGGCCATGTCTACCACGGCGCCTAGCATCTGTGGCTGTGTTCCTCTCCCTGAGAAGGGTAGTGTAGCTAATATTAAGATGTGTGTACAGCTGGTTTGAGTGGGTGACAGGCAGACTATGTCCTGGGGCTGAAGATTGATCAACAGTTAAGACCAGCTAGTGCTTTGCAGAAGACCTGAATGTGGTTTCCAACACCGACATTGCATGGCTCACTCACCACTACCTGTAATACCAGTCTCCAGGGACACATGTACATGCATAATTTAAAACAAGGCCCTTTCTTTGTAAAGCTTCACCTGAATGTTGGAGTGCCTCGTGTTGGTTATGTCTAGCCTCGCCCACAGTGGCTCCAACTCTGATCAGTCCTGGCTTTCCTTATGGAAGCCTGGTCCATGAGAGCTGGTAGTGTGTGCTCAGCTGCGTGGGCCTCTCAGCCTGCTTTTCTCTTAGATGTTAAAGCATTCTCCAGAAACTTACCCTCTGCCCTCTTGAGCCTTGGTAAAGCTCTGAAGCTGTTGGCACTGGGGAATGTCACAGTGGTGTGGCTCTGGGGACGGTGGTGTGGCTCTGGGGACGGTGGTGTGGCTCTGGGGATGGTGGTATGGCTCTGGGGACAATGGTGTGGCTCTGGGGACGGTGGTGTGGCCCTGGGGACACTGGTGTGGCTCTGGGGACAGTGGTGTGGCTCTGGGGACGGTGGTGTGGCTCTGGGGACAGTGGTATGGCTCTGGGGAATGTCACTAGAAGCAGTGGTGCTTTGTTCTGGATTTACGGAAAAGCTGCTTACACACTTTCTTCGCGGAATAGCCAGGGTTAGGTTAGGAAGCAGGACTTGTATGTTGCTCCTTATTGTGAAAGGGCTTAACAGAGCAATTGAAGGTTCGCAAAGAGGGCATGTCCTGGTCCCCTCATGGCGGGAAGGGCTTGTGCAGGAGCCCGGAGCTGCCTGCTTGCTTCTCAGCAGCCCAGGAGCGAATGTCGGTGCTCAGTCTGAGAGCCCAGCCCAAGCCATGGTGTGGCTTCATTCGGAGTGGGCCTTGCCCCAGCTGTGGACACTTAGAGACAGGCCCTGGGACTCCTCAGCGCCCAGTCCATCCAACCTTCTTCCTAAGGGGTCTTCAGGGTGCTACTGGTTAATCACACCCTACGCAAAAGACCTTTTTCTTCCGAAATATTTTATTTCAATGATGAAAAATGAGCCAGAGAAATAGTTCAACAATAGTAAACTAGTAAAGAAAGACCTGGAGCCACGGTTCTGTTCAATTGTTTCTTTAATAAAAGTACAGATTGGATGGATACTCTTTGCCGAACGCTTAGGACCAGAAGTGTTTCCAATTTTGGAGTATTTGCATAGATACAATGAAATAACTTGAGTATGGATCCCCAGTCTAAACATGAAACTCATTTGCTTTGCATATGCTTGAAGATAATCTTACACAACATCCCTGGTGCGCCTGCATTTTTGGGGATCAGGTGTAACATTTCCCATGTGTGGCCTCAGCATCGCACTGACACTCAGAAAGGTCTTGGACCGTTTGGAGTTTCCGCTTGTAGATGTTCAGCCTCTACTGTTCGTCACACTTCATAGTCCAGGGTAGTCTCCATTGCCATGGTAATGTGCTCCGTGTGTTGTCTGGTGTCCATTCTGTCCTCAGCTGGGCTGTCAAGACAGCAGTGTAGTCGGGAGCAGCATTTCAGGAGCCAGGGGGACCATGTTGCGCCATAGGGCGGAGCTCTTCTGTCCCTCGCTGGGGCCAGTTGGCCGCCACAGAGCAGCTGTTAAAAACAAACGCATTTCTTCTTGATAATCTCTGTCTGTGCTCATTCTGGTTAGACACCGTACTGGAGTCCTGCGCCTTTAAGATCCCAAAGGCTTCAGCTGTCTGCCACATTCTCACGCTACCTACTGACATTGTCTCATTTGGTTATGTTTAAAGGGCCACTTTGTCCTCTGTATTCAATTATCTCTGCATGAACACACACAAGAACTGAATGTGTCAGCTGGGTGGCACTCTAGAGGCAGACGCGGGCGGAGCTCTGTGAGTTCGAGGCCAGAGTGAGTTCCAGGGCAGGCTCCAAAGCTAGAAACTCTGTCTCGGAAAGGAAAACAAAATTTAATGTGTCGCTAAAATAAAATGTGTCCATGCCTGTAGTTTCCTGAATTTATGTGCATATATGTGTTTGTGTGGAAATGTGCACATGAGTGCAGGATGTGTCTGATCCCCCAGAGCTGAGGTTATAGGCAGTTGAATGCCATCTGATATGAGCACTGGGAACCAAACCTGAGTCTTCTGCAAGCGCAATATGCGTTTTTAGCTGCTGAACCATCTCTAAGTTACTGTGTTGAGATGGAACTGAACCCTGGCAATGGCTGTCATTACCCATCAGCCCAGTCTTCGCTGTAGGGGAATCTTACCTCAACTGGTGTGTGTGTGTGTGAGAGAGAGAGAGAGTGTGAGTGTGTGAGAGTGTGTGTGTGTGTGTGAGAGAGAGAGTGTGTGTGTGAGAGAGAGAGTGTGTGAAAGAGTGTGTGTGAGAGAGTGTGTGTGTGTGTGTGAGAGAGAGAGTGTGTGAGTGTGAGAGAGAGTGTGTGTGAAAGAGTGTGTGTGTGTGAGAGAGAGTGTGTGTGTGAGTGTGTGTATGTGTGAGAGAGAGGGGTGTGTGTGTATGTGTGTGTGGTTGGTTGTCTTGTTTTTAGAGACAGAGTTTCTCAGGGTTTTTCTGTGTGCCCCTGAAAACTCAATTTGTAGACCAGGCTGGCCTCGAACTCAGAGATCCGCCTGCCTCTGCCTCGCTCCCGAGTGCCGGAACTAAAGATGTGCCTGTGGCTGGCTCCTCTGCTTTTCCAGAGATCCAGAGTTTGGTTCCTTCCACAGGGCCAAGGCTCGCAGCCACCTGTAACTCCGCCCCCATGGGTCGGAAGCCTCTGACCCTCAGGGTATGCATGCAGACATGGAACACATCCACGCACATAATTAAAGATAAACCTTTAAATGTTAAATTATACCAAGCTGGAAAAAGAATTGCAGGAATTTTTCAGCTTGTACCAAAAGCAAAGAGAGAGATAAGAATAAAACCCCATGCTACTCTATTAAGTGATGATGTAGCTGAGAACAAAAAAATAAAATAAAATAAAATTCTAGAAATGAGCTCTCGAGAAGGAGCAGAATGGGTGTTTGCACCAGCATGTGGAGTTGGCTCGTCATTGGTTTGGGAACTGACTTCTGCTGTTTTCCAGGGACACAGCAGGACAGGAGAGATTTAACAGCATTACCTCAGCCTATTACAGAAGTGCCAAGGGGATCATATTAGTCTATGACATCACCAAGAAAGAGACGTTCGATGACTTGCCAAAATGGATGAAGATGATTGATAAGGTATGTGTGTTGCCTTCTCCGTTTGTGGGCATCAAAGGGGGAAAAAAATGATACAGCATCCTTAGTGGACTAAACGTCATCTTATTTAGACGCAACCTCGTTAGAGATGAGGCAGTGATGGAGTAGATTACCCAGAATCAGCTTGCTGTAACTATGAAAACAAACGTTCATTCTGGTCAGAACCCTTGCTGCTCGCTCAGAGTTAGACTAGGCAGGAAGGTCATGTGGGCACCCTTTATGTACTCTGTGGTGTGGTGCCATGGGTCCTCAGCACTGAGGCTGTCCTTCAGTTCCTCCTTTTGAACAAGAGACCATTTCTCTCCGCTTGCAATTGAGTCATTACAGGAAATTCTGTATCTTCATGGTTAATGTGAGTAGCAGTGCCCCTTTAAAAGACAGACCAGTTGGGACTGAAATGTGACCACAGTTGACCACGGTGAGAGGTTCTGTCCCCTTATGCCATAATCAATTCCTCTGTTACAAACACAGGGTTGTAGTCAAACCTGACTGCTCCACATGCCATATAGCCACTAGAAAAGGTCCACTTCTGTTTCACTAACAATTTCCCTGTGCCCTTTCACAGTATGTTAGGGACCAGTGTAAGAAACAGGAGGGTTAGGCATGCTGGTGCACACCTGTCCTGTCTTCCTTCTGTTCTTTGTGTAAGAGCTGTCCTCTCTCTCCCTCGCTCTCTCTCCATCCCTCCCTCTCTCCAGGGTCTCACTATGTAGCCCTCCCTGGCTGGCCTTGCCTCTGCCTCCCAAGTGCTGGAACTAAAGGTTCACACAGCCAAGGCCATAAGAGCTGTCATTTCTGGAATGCTCTACTTGGGCCACGCTGTCCCATCATGCCAGCCAGTCAGACTGGTGCTCTTACTGACACCACATAGGGAGCTGCCTCCCACCCCTTCTCAAGAGCACCTTGGGCCATGATCTCCGGGTTCCTTCAATGCACTCTGCTTCAAATGACTTTTTAGAAGCACACAAAATGGAATAAGTTATTCACTGTTACTCTACCTATGTCTTTTTTTAAACCTTGAAGATAGAGCTTAAAATTGCCCCGGATTGTAGAGTTAATGCTAACTTCATTATAGCATGAACACAAGTTTAAAATCTTGGCCTGACTCCATGTTATGACCAGGTCTCGTACCATGAGGGGTAGCCGATGGCCACTCTCGAGTACGCAGCTCTGCCCGTTGTTAAACATCTCCTTACCATTGCTGAGGGATGGCTAGGACCAAGGCCAAGACCATGGTAGCTGTTGCTGCCTCTCAGAAGGCACCTTCCTGTCCACGGCGGGGAGGTGGCCAGAGGCCACCAGAAAGTAACTGGTGACAAGTTGCATGGGTTTGCATTTGCCTGTCAGTGTGTGACATCTCTGATAACCCCGCAGTACGCTTCAGAAGATGCTGAGCTTCTCTTGGTTGGAAATAAGCTGGACTGTGAAGCGGACAGAGAGATCTCCAAGCAGCAAGGAGAGAAGGTGCGTGACTGTGGGGCGCCCCAGGCAGCGCCCCGTGCTCTGCAGTGTCCATTGTGTCCATCCGCTGTGGCTGGGGGTGTGGGCCTCGGGAATACAGAGCGTGCCCTGCAGTAATGGCCCTGGCACACCCTCCAAATCCTTCACTCCTGCCTCTTCTTTGGATTCTTTTGAAGCAGAGACTAAAGCACATCAGTGTTATTATCTAAGCTGACATTTTATACAGTGGGGAAAAAAATGTTTTCAGGTTGTACGATTTGCCTTCATGACTTTTTTCCTCCTGCCTTGCCTTTTGCTAAGGGTCCAGTCATGGAAGATGCTCATATTTTAAATGTCAGATACACTTTACCTTTAGACTCTTACACACATAATGGGATTTAAAGGTCTGTACAGGTTTCGTTTTATATACGTATGTATGTATGTATGTATGTATGTATGTATGTATACATATTGCTATTTACTTACAGGAATTTGCTGCACACATGAGCCTGATACTTGAACATAAATGGGACTTTGCAGACCCTGAGCTCCCCCACCCTTAGTGGTAAAGCCCAGGGTCTGTGCCCCTGTCAGAGGCCCAGCCTGACACGCACACACAGGTCTGGGTGTCACTGCATGGTTGAAACGGGCACGTGTCTTCTCAGTTTGCACAGCAGATAACTGGGATGCGGTTCTGTGAGGCCAGCGCCAAGGACAACTTCAACGTGGACGAGATATTTCTGAAACTCGTTGATGACATTCTGAAAAAGGTAAAAATAAAGAAATGTGCCTGCTCAGCTAGCTGCCCTGGCAGCTGTCACCAATGTGTAGGTTTTGGAGTCCCTAGGGTTGATAAACAGTCTGTCTGCTTTCCTTGAGGTAGAACGTTCTAGAGTGACTTACACAAGGTCTAATGGCCGGCCATGAGAAGCTGGGGCGTGGCTCATTGGTAGTGCCTTTGCCTAGCATACTTGAGGCCCTGGCCCCCTGCCCAGCAGCATGTAATAGCGTGGGGCTGAGTGTAGCCCTGTGGTACAGCATTTGCTTAGCAGACATGAGGCCCTGGCTCATTCTCCGGCACCACAGGTAAATAAAGTGCCATATTTATGTGTCCTGCCTTTTCTTTTTTCTTCTTTCCCCAAAGAATTAAGTTTAGCATGGGACCCTCTTGAGGTGTTCAGCCTTCCTTGGAGAGAGGCCACAGCCCCTGATCTTTCACAGGCCCCTCTCTATAGACAGCTGTGCACGATACAGACGTAGTTACCTTCTCCCTGATTTCCCTCGGTTTCATTGAATCTGGCAGTGTGGAACCTTCCAGGTAGGGCTAACTGATGATGTCACTGAGGCCCCCAAGAGGACCAGCTCCTAGACTGTCAGAGATGTCACATGATTCAGAAGCACCGGCAGAGGTGGTTGGTTCCTTCCGGCAATGGGCCGGTTTCCTGTTGATTAATATGTAAAGTTTTCAGTACCGTAGATTCTGTGCAAAGAATGTGTGGTTTTTATCATTTTGCTGGGGATCAAGCCTGGGGTCCCCTCACACATGCTGGGCAAACACTTGTCACCAAGCTGCTTCCCTACCTCTTCCAAAGGAATTACAAAGCAGTAATTCAGGGGCTGGAGAGGTGGCTCAGTGGTTAAGAACAGTGGCTGCTCTTCCAGAGGACCCAGGTTCAATTCCCAGCACCCATCCAGCAACCCATCTCACAACCATCTGTATGTAACTCCAGTTCCAGGGGATCCAGCATCCCCTTTCTGGCTTCATCGAGTAACAGGCATGTGGCATAAACATACATACAGGTAAAAACAGCCATACACGTAAAAGCAAAAGGTGCACAATTTAGAACATTCCCTCTCACTTGCAAGACTAAGGTCTTTGTGTTCTCCTCTTGTCCTTTAGATGCCTCTGGATATTTTGAGAAACGAGTTATCCAATAGCATCCTCTCTCTACAACCAGAGCCTGAGATCCCACCAGAGCTGCCTCCACCCAGACCACACGTCCGATGCTGTTGATTGGCTGCTTTGGAGACAGAGTGCAAACAATTCCCAAAAGGGGGAAACCATTCTGTTGTGCACTACAATCATGTGACAGTTTCCTTTCTCGCACTTGTAACCCGAGCTATACACTAACTTGTAAATATGCAAATACGCAGTCCTGGGTGAGGTCCGGTTATAAATCACTTACTTCCCTTCAAACTCTATTCCCTCGTTACTCCAGTGTGTAGAGTGCGTACAGTGGAGGCATAGTACTTCTGGTATGAAGAATGGGATAGAAGAAAGGTGTGCTGTCTCCTGAGTCCCACAATGTCCTTGTTAATTACACTACGAGGGAGATGCTCCGATGGGAAGAGGGCCTGGTGCTTCCAGTTCCGTTTCAAAGAAAAAATCTACAAAACTGAAGATCTTTTGAAAAAGAAGACATGACAACTGCTTTTTCTTTATTTGCAAGGCTTTCCCAGCTGTAGCGTCTTGAGGTTCGGAGTGTCTCTGCCCCAAAGCAAAGCTGCTCCCTCCACAACCGACACGGAGTTGTCTATCGGGTTCTGTAGTAAGAGGCTTCTCCTAGGTAGGGGCTGGATTCAGCTGGGTCCTGTGGCTGCAGAATCCGGGCTTTTCCAGCGGCTGTGATGCAAGTTTTTAAGAACGACAAAGATTCAATTGAGAAGACCTTTGGGCAGGGACTGTAGCTTCAAACCCCAGCATCACACGGGGGTAAAGGAAATAAAAGTAAAGAAGATGAATTTTTGAAACTATGTAAGAGATTTTAAAACCACACTGCTGTCCTACACAAATCCTGTTTAAAGGGATTTTAAGAGTTTCATTTTACTATATCAAAGAATACACATGCATTTGCCTAAACATCCTGTATCTTTGTAATGATGAACTTCTCCCGTTGATGGTGAAGCCTATTCCTATTATGCCTAGACTGTGTTCAAGTTTTTTTGGTTTTTTTTTTTTTTGGGTTTTGTTTTGGTTCCCCCCCCCTTTTTGTTTGGTCCGATAAGGAATTTGTGAACTCTATCTTTGATATATCTTTTATTAAACTGCACTGTTTTGTTTAGTCAAGGTAAATAAGTATGTATTTGAATAACTTGGTGTGTCCTGAGTGTTGTGGTATGAGAAGCATCGTGCTCTTTCTACACTAATGAAGTGCAAATAAAATTTTGTATTTATGAATGACAGTTGAATCGCCCTATGTGTTTATGCAGCTATAAATTATATATACTAGTATTTTTCTCTAAATCTTAATCTTTTGAATGTGGGTAGGAATGTGTTCTTCTGTGGGAAATGCCCTGGTTGCCTCGGGAAAGGTTCAGGCGTGGATCTCCCGGAAATCCAGCAACTCAGTTCCTAAGTCTGTGTGCTCAGAAGGCAGATCAGGTATCAGACAATTTTCTAGAGGTGCCCTCGGCAATGGCGTTCACAGTGTTCAGAAGTCAGGTACAGTAAGCACATGGATCACCACAAGATGACAGCCACCCTGGTCTACCCAGTGAGCTCCTCCAAACAAACCCACACAGAAAGACCTTGTCTCACAGCCCCCCCAAAAAAACATTTTTTGAAGAAAAGCCAGCCGCCATAGCCATATGCTATTGTGCATATGTAAAAACCTTGATGATGTCACCCTGCGTGTAACAAGACAGTTGCAGAATGATTACTACATAACCCCACTCTGTGAAGTACAGTCATGAAATTCATAATCAGGGTCATAGTTATCAGCTGGGGGAGGGGGCGGGGCTGGTAGCCAGGGTGTAGCGGGTGGTGGTGAGGAGGATGGAAGACTGGAGATGGGCGTTAGGTGTGGTGGCACACCAAGGATGTGCTTACGGAAACAGCTCCTACACTCAAAAGCGTGGAAGATTCTGTAGTAGCGCCCTGCAGACTTTCACGAGCGCACCTCAGTCTACTGTCAGCCATTGATCCCCCAATGCCATTGGTCTTGCCTCCAGGCCCACTGTCCCGATAAAACCTGATGAGAAATGCAAGGAACTTGAGGAAGGAAGGTTGCCATGGTGACCGTGATGGTTGGGCGGCGTGTGGGACCCCAGCTGCAGTATAGGAGCATTGGGGCTCCTTTCTCTCCCGCCTGCCAGCCCATTCCACACCATCCCACACATGCTGCTCCCTTCTCCCCAGTCTCTGCACCCTGGCCATGCCCTCCTTGGTCGGAGCATCCCGAACTCCTGAGAATTCCCTTGCAGGGCTCCCATGGGGCTCGCTCTTCCTGGGGGGCACCTGTGTTGAGTGCTTAGCAGGTGCAGAATGTTCAAATCTGAGTGGGGGCCAGGTGTGGTTGCACACACACCTGTGCTTAAAACCTACACTCAGGAAGCAGACACGAGGAACTGGAGTTGAGAGCCAGCCTGAGCTACATAGAGAGGCACCGTCTTGAAAAACAAAGCCAACGAATGCTAAACAGTGACTAAGAAAGCTTGCTGCTGGGCTGGAGAGATGGCTCCAGGCCAGGCTCACAACCAAAAACATAAGAAAGCTTGCTGCTCTTGGAAAGGACCCAGATTGGGTTCTTAGCACCTACATGAAGAAGACCACACCTGCCTGCAATCTCAATTCCAGGGGCTCTTAGATCTGATCTCTGAGGGTGTCTGTATTCATATGGTACACGTAATTCACAAAGGCATACACATAAATATGAATAATCTTTGTTGTGTGTACTTTGCCACAGAGGCCAGAGGAGGAAGATCCCCTAGAACTGGGGTTACAGACAGTTGTGAGCTGCTGTGTGAGGGCTGGGAATTTAACCCAGGTCCTCTGGAAGAGAGCATCCAGGGCTCTTAACTAGTAAGCCACCTCCCCAGCCCTGATAAATAAAAACAAAAACCAAGGTCTGGTGAGATAGTTCAGCTGGTAAAAGTAGTCGCCACACAAGCCTCATCACCTGAGTTTGGTCCCCGGAACTCACATAAAGGTGACAGAGAGCCCGCTGCAGAATGCTGTCCTCCAGCTCCACACAGACCCACAAGTGCACACACAAGAACAAAACAGCCCAGCGGTGGTGGCACACACCTTTACTCCCAGCACTCAGGAGGCAGAGGCAGGCGGATCTCTGTGAGTTTGAGGCCAGCCTGGCCCACAAAGTGAGTTCCGGGACAGTCGGGAACACACAGAGAAACCCTGTCTCCAAAATTAAAATAAAAAAGAATAAAATGAAAACGATGAGCAAGACTCCCGGCACCTTCCAAGGTTCATTTCTTTCAAAGTCGGTGCAAGTCCAAAAACAGTTCAAGAAATAAGCATTAAAATGCATATTTCATTGGGGGTAAACAACAGGTGACAGCTACTATTGAACAGGGTGACCTGACCTGAGATGAGTGACTGTGATGGGGAGCCCCGCTTGGCAAAGCCATGGGATCGCTGGCTGGAGATGACCGCTTGTAATTTTTCTCCTATGCCCCCCTGTGTGTGTGTGTGTGTGTGTGTGTGTGTGTGTGTGTGTGTGTGTGTGTGTGTGCTGATAGGGAGATGTAGCAGAATGTGCAGAGAGAAAGAAGTGTGAAGAGATGTAGCTGAGTGGGGAGAGAGAGAGAAGCTGTAGTTGGGGTCCAGCCTGGTCTACAGAGCGAACTCCAGGACAGGCCCCAACGCCACACAGAGAACCCTGTCTCGAAAAAAGCAGAAGATGCAGCTGTACAGAAGAGACGTGTCCGCAGGAGAGATGTGCGTGAAGGCAGAAGTATGTGGCTGTGTGCAGAATGAATGTAACTGTGGAGAGGGGTGTGGCTGTGTAAAGAAGTATGAAGGTATGGAACTGAATCCATGTAACTGTAGACATGTGTGGCTGTGTAGAGGGTAGATGTAGCTGGGGAGAGACCTAACTGGATGCAAAGAGGTGTAAGTGTAGAGACTGTCAAGAAGAGATGATAGAGTGGGAGAACAGATTGCCATCAGAAAGCCTGTGTCTCCTTATTTACCCCAGAAAAGGGGCAAATAGCCCTTGGGAAATTTGTTTGTTTGTTTGCATACCCTGGAAGCAGCCTTGCAGCCGAAAGGCCGCTGGCATCATATTTTATTAAAAGAGAAGTAAATGATATCACCCAGGCAGGCCCAAGAAGGGCCTGCCCTCTGTATCTATCCTAAACCTTCTAAGGCAACAAGTGTTCTGCTTTTATTGGTGCTGGTTAGTTAAGCTGACACTTGCGCTGTGGCTTCCTGGGCCTTTAGGGACCTCAACAGGGCACTACCCATTAGCTCAGAACAGTGTAAAACTCATAAGGTCCAAGACCAGGTCAGAGCCCTGAGCAAACACCCATTTCCTGACAGATCAACCATTCCACTCTGACCTTGTTAGATGTCACCAGAAGCAGAGTTAGGAATGACAGTGAGGTATCTGCTACATTCCTTCTTTCTAATTTCCTGCTGGTCTAAAGTTATTTTTAGATGTCTTTAACATTATAGCGCTGATAGCAGCAGCTAATTACTGTTTGCTGGATGTCGGGCCTTGTAACATGAGGCTTACAGATACCTCTCATCACAAGGCCCTGGGCTGGGTCGGGGTGGTGGGGGTGGTTGTCGTCTACTATCCCCGTTTCTCAGTTGGGGAAATTGAAACGCACAGATTCAGTGACCTGTCAAAAGGTTACTAGATGCTTAAGTAGTCAGTATCTGACCCCACATCAGCTAACCTTAGAGACTCAGAGTGTGCTTGGGAAAGGTGAACTAATAATTGAGGACGATTTCTAGAATTCTGGCCCCACCCTACCCCAGGCTCTCTGGCAATCGGTACACAGACAGACTGCAAGCCTGTGAATTCTCACCCACTGGACTCAGCACTATGGGTCAAACATATACTAGGCAATCACTTTACTACTGAAGTATACACCACCTGATCTTTTCTGTCGCCATCGCCCCTAAGTGACAATAAAATCATCCTGTCCACGTGTCTTGCCCAGTTGCTGTAGCCCATAATATCAATGTCCTCAGAGCTCTCTGGGCATCTCTTAGCAGCGGGAGATGGGCCCGTTTCCAACAGCTGTTCCTGGCCTCACTCATTTTATTCAGATACATGGCTACATGCTTCTGAAGAGAAGCCATGCCTTCCCGCAGCCATGCATAGCTCTGTACAGTGTGGATACCTGTCGAACCTGGCAAACCTGAGCTCATGCCTCAGCCTCTGCTTTCCTAACTGACGTTCCGTGCTGCGTTTGGTTGGGATCCTTCTTCCTAAGCCGAAGGCATCTTCAGCTCCCAGGATTCCGTCTCAAGCACGGTGGCCGGCACACTCACGCATACCTTCACGTAGTTCCAGGGACCTCTGTCTGTAGGGCAGACACTCGCGAACTCTGAAGAAAAATGCTGCTCTTACAGGTTGCAGGCTCTCATGTCATGCAGTGTCTGTTTCCTCGTGACTTTCAGTGGATTCAGTCCAGTCCAATCAAATCCTGCAGGATCCTTTGCAGAAATCAAGCTCACTCCGGATTTCACACACAGAGGCAAGTAAGCCAGACCAGCTGAAACAGCCTTGCAGAAAATCAGCAGAGAGCCCTTTACTCTGCCTGGTTTCAATAATTTGTTTGTTTTTGTTGTTTTTCAAGACAGGGTTCTCTGTAGCTTGACCAGTAGACCAGGTTGGCCTCGAACTCACAGAGATCTGCCTGTCTCTGCCTCCCTGCATCCTTAGTGCTGGAATTAAAGGCGTGGGCCACTACCAACCTGCGGTTTCAATAATTCTTATGTCTCCGTTAGCTCAGGCAAAGGAGAAGGGTGGGGCAGGATGGAGAAATAAAACAACCCAGCGTGGTACCAAGAATTACCTTGACACATGGACAAGGCGACTCAGTGGAGAAAGGATCAAAGTAACTTGAGTCTATTCCTTTCCGTGTGAACACTGCCTAGGTTCAGTGTCCAGCACCACCACAAAGCCAAACAAAAATACACGGAAGGCAGGAGAGGTGACTCAGTGGTTTAGTTGTGCGTCCTGCTCTTCCAAAGGACCAGAGTTCCATTCCCAGAACCCACCTTATCCTATTGCCCAAAACTGCCTATAATTCGCCAGGCAGAGGTAGGTGGATCTCAGTGAGTTTGAGGCCAGCCTGGTCTGTCTATGGAGCTACACAGAGAAACCCTGTCTCAGAAAAACAAAAACAAAAACCCTACCTATAATTCTAGCTAGCAATCCAATTCTTCTAGTCTTTGTAGGTACCTGTATTCATGGGCACATACCCAT